TTCCCGGTCTTAGGTACCACCGAATTGTGAGTTTTGTACCCCCCGCCCCCCACCCCCCCCCCAATACCACCGAATTATTGTACCCTCCGAATTATTTGCCGTAAGTTTGAGATGTGTGTCTACAATTAAGGCCTGTTTCATGAAGTTAACAATCTGACACAGAGGGAAAGTCTCAAATGTTAAATTTCATATTTTCCTTATTTTTCTTCATTGAACTCTTAATGTTCTTATGCCCAACACACCTCAATCTAAAAGTTTTATTTTCGTGATTTCAGTACCGTAACGATTCTCAAGCCTGGAACAACTGGATATTCATCACTTGTATGCTTTTCATGTTCACTATCTATTGTGGTTTGGTTAATAAATTGGCAAGGGGTCAGAATTCCAAAGCATCCAGAGCGGTGAGTTTTGAAATATAGGGTTCTTCAAAATTTTTGTATATTTTTTAGTTCTTAAAAAAACAAAACAGCGATTAATAATTTTTCTGTTAGCAATAGACATTCTGGATGTTGATTTTTTGAAAAAAAATACACATTTTGGAAATCTAACACTCTATGAATATTGCCTTTGCAGCTTGAAATTTACATGGTTACATCTTGAAACACAATTTATTTAAAAAATGTAATTCAAAATTTTCAGATCTTCATTCAATGCTGCATAATCTGTTTCTTCAATTCCTGTACAGCCATTTTCTACAACGTCCTCGCCTTCATCACTCCATCTCCAGCAATTTTGGTTTTTGGTCAATTATGTTGGTCAATTAATCACGGATGTCCTGCATTGATCTACGTCACATTGAATGACACTATTCGGCGGGAGTTCAAAAAATTAATTTTTAGAAGTTCAACGAATAAAATAGAAGAGGGAACTTCAAGTGCTGCTGGGAAGACAATTACAGCGGTTTCGAAAATTTGATTTTTTGAAAAATTCGGAAAAGTGTTCATATTTTTTGTCATTCTTGAATTATTATTCCACTCAAAAACCAACACAATTTTTTTCTGTAACATACCACTGTTTTTTATCAATTACACATAAATGCAAGTCTTAAATAAAATTTATTTTCATGAATTTCAAAATTCCGAAAGTTCGAAATCAAATTATTCAATCACACCCAATCCTAGAAAAAGTTCTATTAAAAAAAGAAATTCCTTCAAATCTTTATAAACCATTTGAAACATTGAAAAAAGAGATAAATAATTTTTTTTTCTAGCGAAGACGTGCAATTTGGCGATCGGCATCAATGACAACAGTGACCTGAAATCACTTCTGGATTTTCAAAATTTTCATAAGTTTGACTTGAGAAATGTGTTGAGAACCGCTTTTAGGATTTATGCAATTTTTATATTATTTTCGAATAAAAATTCAAAAAACTTCAGTTTCAAAACTGTGATTTAAATAAGATTTAATGAATTAACCATCACTGTATCTTGGAGTTTTTTGTATATAATTTAATCCATTTGAAAATTTCAGTTTCCTAGAAAAATACTGTACCTTCAAAACCTCTCCTCCACCCTGTTTCTCAGCCCATCCCACATCTTTAATCGTCATTTTCCCATCATTCGGAACCTTCTCATACTTGTATTTTCCCCGTTTCTCCACACAATTTTTCCTCAAATACACATCAATTGTCGACAATGGTTTCGATGTGCAAACTCTCAATAGCTGAACGATCGCTGTGATTGCATCTCCAATTACAATTAGCTTTGGAAGGACAATCGTTTTCATGTTATTCTCATTTGTATACAAATAACACTCAATCAAAAGTTCTGATTCGTTTGGACGTTTTTCACAGGGTAGAATGAGCATTATCGATTGTTTTTGAGCCAGTTCATGGATGCGTTGAAATTGATTCGTGTGGCATGCCATTGCTTGGATCTGGAAAACCAGGGAAGGTTCTGGAACGTTCGGCTGGGAAATGGTTCATTTTGAGTTATTTTTTATAGAATTTTGAACACATTCAGTTGAGATTTTTTAAACAATCAGTGAAATTCCTTGTATATGTCTAAAAATCCGAAAATATGAAAATTCAAGAATTAACAATTTTCTGTTTCATAATCTCGAAATCAAATTCTTTCGAATTAATTCCCATGTTCAAAATATGGTTTCGAAAATTCTGAATTTCACTGTTCCACTATATTAATATCAAATTTTTGTTCGAGTTTTTTCCCAATTCCTCAGTGTTTTTCAAAAAAATTCAAACAAACTATACTGAACAACTGAAGCATGTTTAGAAAATATAAGTTACACGAAACTGGATTTTTAAACAAAATTAAAATCTTTAAAACTTGAAAATGCTAAGCCCAGAGCCTTACCTCTGACCATGACAGCGTATTGGCACAACGACTGATGGCACATCTCGGTGGGAATTCTGAAAATTTTCGGCTTCAAGATTTCTATATTGAATTTGAAAAATAAGGTGTTTTTAATCAATGCAGTCTCCGCTGAACCTGAAAACTATGAGCAATGTGCCATCCTATCTATTTTTCAATATTCCAAATCTGGCTTAAAACCCCCAAAATCAATAACATACTGTTCTCCAACGAAAACATGACACGATTCAGAAGACAATCATAGCACAGGCGATGACGACAATGCGTGAGTACCATTCTGGCAATATTCTCACAGGCGTGTCCTTTTTTGCGGGCTTCGCATCTGGAATATAGTTATTTTTACTTTGATGCAATTTATCTAGGTTACGATAAGAGATATAAAAAGTTGTCAACTGATAAAATAATTTTGATGATATGTATTTCATTTAATCAGTTGACAACTTTTTTTTGATATCTAGTAAAGTAAGCGAGATAAATTGGGTCAAAATGAAAGGGTTCTTTTTTATAAATGGGTTCAATCAATCGTCTAATTATTGAAACTCGCATGAGTTTGGGAAGTTTATGTATTCCGTAAAACCGTAATTTTTGGAAAAATTATCTTGGAACAAAACTACAGTAACCATTGACATTTTTCAATTTTCCTGTTTTTTTCCCGAAACCTTTTTTAAAGTTTTGCACTTGAAAAAACAGAAAAATGTGAACGTTTTGTGTGATGCCGGCAAAAAATTTTTCAATTATTTTTTACATTTTCATAAAAAGCCTATATAAGGTTCTATAAAAATTTAAAGTGATATGAAAGGGGGTTTCCTGTGTTTTATGAATGTGAACTTTACGTTTTTCCGCTTTCTTGGAATTTAGGTATATTGGTTGTTCTGATAACTGAAATTGTAAAATTCCATGTTCCGTCAATGGAAAATTACTTCAACAAGTTGAATAAATTTATGAAATTCGCGAAACTGAAAATGCTTTATTTCAAAAACTATGGAAACGAATTTTTTGAACAGTTTCATGAATTTTGAAATTTGATATTCAGGAACTTTTGGGAAGTGTATCGACGCTTTTTAAAGGCTTCCATTATAAAAAATATACGAAAATCCGGTTATTGTTAACACCAAAAAACTCTGGAATTTCAGAAATGAGCTATACGCAAAAAAAAAAGTGAAATTGAATTATTGAGATCAATCAAATAAATCAAAAAATTTACCAAGTTTCTGAAACTGAAAATTTTGATTTTTGAAGGAGTTGAACTTGTGTGTCCCACGTTGGAGCTGCCGCGTTGCTACCAGCTGAGCTACGGTAGCTCCAGCTAGATTTTTCATGTTTTCTCAATAAGAACCAAGATAAACCGGTTCAAAGAGGGGGCCCTTTTAAAACAGGTTTTATGTTAGTAAATAAGCATTAAACAAACTGAAAACACAAAATCTAGAATTCCCGAAAAGCATCCTACAAAACAGTAACAAAAAATCCTTACTTCAATTTCTCTCTCATATCAATCTTGAAGAGTGTCGACGTGGCAGCTCCAAACGAGATCTGTGATCCATTATTGCCTTCCATCTCATCCACAATGACGTCAGTGGAACGAGTACCCTCACAGAAACGAACTGGACACAGTAGTCCTTGGTATACGGTCATGCACAAATTACAGAATGTATGGTGGCAACTTAGTTCCTGGAACATGCATACTGTGATCTCAATTATTTGGGTTTCTAAATTAGATATCAAAAATTTGTCAACTGATAAAATGTTGAGCATAATATCTGGAATATTTTATCAGTTTACAAATTTGTATATCTTTCACTAAAATTGAGATAATTGTCTTGAGAGGGGGTGTCCTATTTTTGCTGCTCATGTCTCCGGTATGCTATAGCACAAGTGGTTATCATTTTGTGATCAAGTTGAAACGGTGAATTTTTGCGTGATGATGTTCACAGTGTGTGCGAACACCGTCACGTCAAAATGCACACAACTATTAATCCCAGGACTATTTAACAAAAGTACATATATCGGTCAGCGTCATCTGAACTTCATGAAACGGGATTTATTTTTGGCAAAAAATAATGTTATTTTCGGAATTTTCCCAGTTTTTTCATATACCTGAACATCTTCTTCGTTAGTCTGCTCATTGCAAATACGACACTTTGTAGTTGACATGATTGTTGGAATTTATGAAAATAAATGTAAATTTATCTAAAGACATTGTCACGCATTTTATGTTTTATAACATAAAAATTAGGTGATACAGAAAAATTACAATTTTACAAAATATTCGAAAATGGAGTTCCTGGAAACCGATGCTCTGTTCCCAGATGTTCCCTCTTCCACTTTATTCGTTGAACTTCTAAAAATCAATTTTTTGAATTCCCGCCGAATGGTGTCATTCAATGTGACGTAGATCAATGCAGGACATCCGTGATTAATTGACCAACATAATTGACCAAAAACCAAAATTGCTGGAGATGGAGTAATGAAGGCGAGGACGTTGTAGAAGATTGCTGTACAGGAATTGAAGAAACAAATTATGCAGCATTGAATGAAGATCTGAAAATTTTGAATTATGATTTTTCTTTTCTCCTGAAAAAATTGCGTTTCAATTTGTAACTATAATAAACTTGATGGTTAAAATTTCAATTTTATCCATATGGGTTATGGAAAATATGTTCAAAAAATCAAATTAAAAAATGTCAATTTTTGTTTTTTTTTAACATGGATTTTTATGGTTTGCAGTGATGATTGTTTTGACATTGTATTTGAAATGAGACACAGATTTTATAAAATCCTTGAAGCAGATATTTTTTTTTTGCAAAAATTTTTTCAGCTGCTAAAAAAGTTAAATTTTATTTTTTCTCGAAACGCTGATTTTTTTAAAACAATAACAATTGTCGGCACTGTTCTAGAATCATAGAACGAAAAATAGGAACGAAAAAAAAATCAGGGAACGAAAGTTTTGGGTAGTCCGAAAATTGTTACGACCTTCATCCGAATACTATCCTGAAATCTTATCTTGACATCACTTTTTCTTTGATTGCTACCCAAAATTATATCCAAAAATGGGTATATTTAGTCCTTAAGACACACAAACAGATAAGGTACATAGCTAATAGGGTACATAGGACATTTCCCAGATGTTCTGAGGATCATGGGTACATCTGTGAATAAGATTCGAAGCTGCAACGAGCGAATTTTCGCCATTTCTCTTATTGAATTTTTCGCCATTTCTCGGATGTCCCACATGAAGGACCATGGGTGTTTCAGCCTAAGCCTATAATCGAAAAAAAACATTTCTAATCCAACATTAGTCTTCTTGGAACAAAAATTTGGTCCGGAATAAGAATAATCTTGGACCAAATTGAGTAGAATTCTTGGCATGAAATTGCTCTCCTCGGATTTTTCATTTTTCAAAAGTTGGATGATATTTTTGGATTGGGGAAGCTTTTTTCAATCACAGGCTTAGGCTGAAACGCCATGTTTCCTTTATCTGGAACACCCAAAAATATCAGCAAGCTCAAAAACTGCTTGGTGTAGCCTTGAACTAAATTTTCAGATGTCCTGAAGGTCCTATGTAACATGTTAACTAGCACATCTGAAGAACTTGATAAACCATTTTTATTATACTTTTGGGTATTCGACAAAATAAAATTGATGTCAAAGTTAGTATTACGGATACTACTTGTCAAAATAAAGAAGATAACAATTTTCCTGGATAACCCAAATTTTTCGTTCCGTGATTCTAGAACAGTGCAGAACTAGCTGGTGTGAAATATAAAACAAGCTAAAGTAGAAGTGGTGAGAAAGTAAAAACTCAAAATTCTGAGCTCTATGTCTGAGAAGGTTTGATTTTGTCATATTCTCAAAACTGAAAAATACATTTCACTATTGAGCACTGAAAATTGCTTAAAACTTACCGCTCTGGATGCTTTGGAATTCTGACCCCTTGCCAATTTATTAATCAAACCACAATAGATAGTGAACATAAAAAGCATACAAATTACGAATATCCAGTTGTTCCAGGCTTGAGAATCGTTACGGTACTGGAAACATGATTTTAATAAAAATTCTAGACAATTTTGTTTCAGTATGTTATCTAAATCAGATGGGTTGGGAATTATAACGTTAAGAAGTCTGATTTGATTAATGTAAAATGTAAACATTTTAGACTTGTTTCCTGTTTTAGATTTTTGGTTAATGAAACAGGTACTCAATATACTCAAACTCACATAATTCGATGCCTCCTCACTTGGTTCCTTCTCCGATAACGGATCCGATGGCCATGCCATAATCAGAGAGTTAAAACACGCTGGAGTTGTGAAGAAGCTGATGTAGAACATATACACCACACTTAAAATCATTGTGGTATAAGCAATAGGCTTCTCAAAAGCATAATCTCGAAAACCAATACTAACGATTCGGTTGAGGAATAGGGAGAGGGTAATAGCACAAGCACCACACCAGGTACAAAGAGCAATTCCTCCGCAGATGTAGATGAATGTGGGATAGGCACAGAAGACAGCACCTTGGATCAGAAGGATTCCAGTTATGATGCAGCTGCAACCTGAAATAATAGTAATTTTTGGATGGGAACTTGATTCAAGAAACCGAAAAAAATTGGAATATCACAGAGAGTATGGTAGTGATGGCGTATACAACAACGGCTTTTCCTTCTCTCCGAGTCTATGAAAAATGTAAAATGTTTACTGTTTCGATATATTGAGTTCATAGTTTCTTTTTTACAGATTCGATAATTTTTCATTTTTTATAGAGCTCCCTAACTATCAGTAAATCTATGTATCCAGATGCCCAAAACTCACTTATTGCACACATATCCGTTGCTGCCAACAAAACGATAGTCTTATAACAAGTGTGTCGGATCAATTTAGTTTTGAAAATGATCCAAACAATTGGAATATATAGTAACTCGATGAATATTCCGAAAACTGTGATTGGATATCCCAACAATGGTCGTTGAACCCCATTTTGCCACCATTCGGATTCTGGTTCCCATGAGCAATTGTAGAATGGAATGGCGTCAGTGCTACCGTAATGAATCAAGCGGTTCATTAGTCTGAAACTGAATTTTCGTTTTTTTTTCCTGAAGTGATAGATCAAGCAAAATTCGAAAATGTAAAGAGTTTGTATGATAAGAGTGAAACATTAAATATTTTTTCCTTAAAGTTCAAATAGAGTTTAGACTTTCAAAGAATACATATAATAAAATCAGGGTTGCAATCTGACGGGCTGGCCGGCCCGAGGAAAAAAAACCAGGGCCCGGCCCGGCCCGGCCGGCCGGCAATTAATTAATATTTGAACGCGCGCCATTTTTATTTGCAACGATGCTCCGATATGACGAGGCGTGCATTGTTTAGCAGCCCGTGTCGATTTACGGGGGTTTGTTTTGTTGAGGAGTATTGGAAAAGAAAAAGATTCGAATACCCCGGACTGTACTCAGCAGCACTTTTCGTTTTTTCGATTGTTCCCAGTGAAGCCATGTGTGAGACTACGTTCAGCACTGCGTCGTTTTTGTTAGATAAAACAAGAACAAGATTACTGTACAAGCGTGTGGAGATGGTCGTTCTGGGTTCGCAAATAGCCACGAAATTTCCACACTGGCTCGACTGATTCTCTCACTAATTGTAGTGATTTTTCTAGTTAATTTTATGTTACTTTTCTATCTTTTTTGTTGGATTGGTTGATATGAGCTTTAATTTTCACCCCCGGTTTCCATTTCTTTGTTTCCCCTTGTTCATTTATACGGTTTTTACATTGTTATGCTACTTGTTAAGAAATAAATTCAAATAATTCTTCAATAATTTCTGTTTTTTCTTAGATTCGAACGGGCCGAACCGGCCGAACCGGCCGGGCCGGAGAAAAAATAATCTCGGCCCGGCTAGAATTTTAAAAATCTGTTTTTCACACCTAACCTAATTGCCGAAAATTGCTCAAACTAGGCGGAAGTCAGAAATTAGGTTTTGGGCGCACAAAAATATGTAGAAATCAAAAATCCAGAAATCACAAAAAAAACTATTTAACGACTTGAAAACTATCAAGACGAGGAGAATCTTTAAAAAGCTAGAGAAGAGACGAGGCACTCAGATTTAAGCTAGTGAGAATCAAGAATTTTAACTACACTCTACAAAGTATCTTATTCAAGAACACATATGAATTTTAAAATCAACATTTTTGAAACATTTAATTTTTTCCAATTTAATGGATATTGTATCCAAAGTTTCAGATTCCTGATAGCTACTTTACTCGAAGACCATTATTATTTCTATGAAAATCTACCGTAATCCTCAAAGGAACATGGTTTCGATGAACCTTGCCTGTTTACTTATTGGCTATGCTCACTACAGTAATCCTAAACAAAAGCTAATAAAACTCTTAATAGCATGTTCGGCTTGTTTTCCATAAGTGTCATCTTTTATGTATAGACTAAAGATAATGGAATATTTTGCAGATTTGCTTTTTTGTTTCTGGAGGCTTTTAAAAGCTAGAATATGGAATCAAAAAGAACACAATTTGTTTCGACATTGGATATGAATTCAAACTTCGTCTAATAACAATTCCGAAAAAAGTCAAGGTTCTGAAACGGAATTATTTCTTAAATCTTGCTGTTCGAGATTTCTTTTATACTCATCTGAATCCTCCTCAACATTGATTTATTTTTCAAGAAGAAAAAACAGTTTCCTGGAAATCCGTTATGAATACCTCCTCTGATTGGGTATTTTATCACTTCCTTCCAGATTTTTTATCCAATTTTGCATATCTTTGTTCAGACGTATTTTCCCAGACACTTCTTTTGTCAGTCTGATCAGTGTTCCATCAATTAGGATATTGTGGTCATCTGGATATATTTTGGAACTGAAATATTATCTTAGAATAAGATTTCTATAGAACTGAATCAAGCAACCAAGTAAAAGCTGTGAAAAAGGGCTCAGAAAAATAATGTTTTCTCTTATGCTTGCCATTTTAGTGATTAAAGGGGGACTCCGAGCAAAAATTTTTATTGTATTAAAATGTGTTAAAAGTTATCTATTTTCCCTAATATTATTGTAAAAAATTCAAAAGAAATCCGAAA